TCTAGCTCAGAAGCAACAAAACCCACATGGAAGAAGCACACCAGCCTGTGTGATCATGAGGTGTTGAAGGGATCAGGTATCAGGCATAAAAGAACAAAAAATCAAATCATTGTGAATGAAAGGAAGTGCAGATTGGTTACCCAAGGCCCATCTTTAGGCAACTGGACATCCCCTGACAGAAGGGCTGCAAGAAGGAGACGAGCCAGTCAGGTTACAGTGTAGCAATGGTGAAACATACAACTTTCTTCTCGTTCCTAGATGCTTCCTCCCCTGCCACTATCATGATCCAAATTCTACCTTCCAAATCTGGCTAGACCAGAGGATATACACTGGTACAAATAGGAGCTGGACACACAGGGAATCCAGAACAGATGATCCCTTCAGGACCAGTAGTGAGAGGGGTGATACCATAAGGGTGGAGGGAAGGTGGAGTACAAAGGGGGAACTGATTACAAGGATCAACATATAACCTCCTCCCTAGGTGATGGACAACAGAAAACTGGGTGAAGGGAGATGTCAGACAGTGTAAGATATGACAAAATAATAATAATTTATAAATTATCAAGGGTTCAATGAAGGAGTGGGGAGTGGGGAAGGAGGGAAAAAAATGAGGAGCTGATACCAAGGGCTCAAACAGAAAGCAAATGTTTTGAGACTGATGGTTGCAATAAATGTGCAAATGTGCATGACACAATTGATGGATGTATGGATTGTGATAAGAGTTGTACTAGCCCCCAGTAAAATGATAAAATAAAAAAAAGAAATTGATTGTGGTAGCAATTGTACAATACTGCTTGATGTGAATGAATTATGGAACAGTTTGATATTGGTATTAGCTTCCAGAAAATGGTTTTGAAAAAAAAAGAAACTAGGCACAAAATAGTGTATCTCATATGATTCCACCTGTACAAAATTCTAGAGCAGACAATATTAGACACTGGACCAACCAGACCCATTGCCCTCAAGTGGATTCTGACTTACGTTAATCCCATAGGACAGAGTAGAATTTCCCCATCACATTTCTAAATAGTGTTTTTGGACCTATACTGCCACACCTTTTTATCAGAGGACAGCCAATGTTCCAACCACTGACCTTGTAGTTGGTAGCCAAGCATTTAATCGCTACACCATCAGGGTCCCTTACAGTCTACCTATGGGGATACAGATGTGCAAAGTGGTTGTTTAGGGAGGGCGTGGGGAGGTGCATTAGAAGAAGGCACAGGTGACCTGTGTAGAGTGAATGATAATCTCGGTCTGGAGTAGTGTGGTAGTTAAATAAATCTGTCAAATCTTCAACGGATAGCCCATTTCAATTACGTGTATCCTAGTATAAAATTTAAATCTCAAGGAAGTAGTTGCTGTTAATTTTGACTTATAGTGACGCCATGTTGCTGTTAATTCTGACTTATAGTGACGCCATGTGATTTCCAGTTGCTGTTAATTCTGACTTATAGTGGAGCCATGTGAACATACCATATAGTTTTAAGGTTTTGATACCCAAACACAGATCACCAAACCTGTCCTACGAGAAATCTCTGGGTGCATTCAAATCACCAACCTTTCTGCTAGGAATTGAGCACTTTGCCAGCTGCACCACTCAGCGACTGTTAAAAAGTAAGAAGGAGCATTGTCAAATCGATTATAATTGATGTAGTTAGGCTAAAATGAAATTCCTTAGCTTTTCGTTTATTTTTCAAAATCATATTATTGGGAGTTAATACAGATATCATGTCAGTCCATCATTCAGCCTTAGCATTGGATCTCCCTTTTGACCCATTTTAAAGTTAAGTTCTTAATATCTTCTGCTTTCTTTCTATTGAGATTTGTCTAGCCACTGCTGTTGGGCTTTCCCCCCCCTTCTTATTTGTATTTCGTGTGATGTTCTGTATATGAAATCCAGGAGTGGTGAATCTATTGAGATAGTAACTGGATTGATAATTGCCCAGCAGCATGGAAGGGGAGGGTAAGGTAAGAGGGGACTGGGAACAATGAGTACAAGAAGAACGTGTTCTGAAATTGATTGCGATGCTGGCTATTTGAGAATATTTGATGAAATTATATGATCAGGTAAAGAACAAATGAAACTGGAGAGACTTACTTCAATTTAATGTTTATAACCAACTAAACCATAATCCCTCTTTTTCGGCTTCATTCACCTAATTAAGAAAAAAATTGTCCTAAAATAATTTCTTGTGGTGAATAAAACAAAAACCGTGAGATGTACTGAATACACGGATGTACAGGTGTCTGGGTGATGCAAACATTTCATTTGGCTCCAAGCCAGGTCAGTGATTTGAATCCCCTGTTAAGACCCCGTGGAGCTCTTCTCGTTTGTAATACATGGATGGGGCAGACAGGAGTCAGAATTGCTTCCATGGCAGCAGGTTTGTGGAGGGCTTTTAAAAAGTAAATTCTTTCAAGGTGTGTATGAGCCTTGGTGGTGTAGTGGGTTATGCATTCAGCTGCTAATACAGGGTCTACAGTTTGAAACCACCATTCACTCCTCAGGAGAAAGATGAGGATGCCCACTCCTGTAAGGATACACAGGCGCAGAAACCCACAGGGGAGGTTCTTCTCTGTGCTATAACGTCAGTAGGAGTTGGTATCAACTCAATGGCAGTGGGTCTGTTTTGTTTTATTTTTTATACAATGTGTGTTCACAGAGAGGATTAAAAACAATGAAAGAGCAAAGAGCTTCATATACACATATCATAGAATATGAAAAGTCACGGAAGTCTAGTACAGTCTCATGTTTGTTCAACAGTATTTACCTACTACGCACTACAAGCCTGATATCATTTTAAATGCAAACCTAAAGACATAGATAAATCACACACTAAATCTAACCCAATGCCAAAACATGGGGCCTTGACAGGACAGAGTAGAATTGCCCCGCAGGGTTTTCAAGGATGCAGATCTTCATGGAAGTGGACTGCCTGTGGAGCAACTGGTAGATTTAGAACCTGACCAGTTGGTTAGCATCCAAATGAATCAATCACTTGCAACCAGGACTCCTTTGAAAGAAGTACATAGGATGCATCCCTTAAGTAATAATAGCTTTGGCAAATGTTTTGAAATGTACAACACAGAGTGATATTATCAAGTTACTATAGGTGGTGAGAAGATGCAACTTTATATAGACTAGACAAGTAACTAGTCAACCAGCCCTGTTTCCCCGAAGGATGAGAAAACATTTCTAAGGGAAGTAGCAAGAGAAAGCCACTTGGAGAAAGTAGATTTTGAGCAAGACTATAAAGAATGGAGATATTTTGATCAAACAATTGCGGGGATATGAATTTCAAATTAAATCATGGCCATGGCGATAGGAGAGAGCCACAATTCCATTTCTCCGAGTGTAAGGATCACCTATAAATTGGAAGGAGAGGAGAAGAGTTCCTGAGTGAAGCTGATGGTTCAAACCAGGCCAGAGGCACCTCGAAAGACCAACCCGGTGGTCCACTGCTGAAAGGTCACAGCTGCAGAAACTCCATGAAGCATTTCTGACATGCGCAGAGTCATCCCAAATCAGAATGAACTCCACCACAATCAAGAGCAAAAACATAGATGGGGTTGCACCACTGACACATAGGAAGAAGTAGACAGAAAGCATATAAGCAACTTCAAATAACCTGACATCACTGTTTCATCTTTCAAACCTCTTACCAACGCGATGGTTATTTGACTTATGAATACTATTTGCTGTTTTAAAAGGAATCCTGGTGGAAAATGCTTAAATCATTTAAAACTATTAAAATAGAACAAGAGACTTAATATTCTGTCATCTAAAAAAACAGTTTATTCAAAAGGATGTATACGTAACAGCAGGCCAAGAATGGAGACAAGCGACTTTCTTAAGAGAGTTCATGACAGAACAATAGAAATTGGGGAATAAAAATCAAGGATGAAGCTAGGGAGTATCTTGAATTTGACTCGATTGAGCCTGAGGGTACATTGGGTCATCTGTCCCATATAGTGCGAGAATTGAGAACTCATATAGGAGGGCTAGAAAATAGATAGCATTTTTTCCTTACAGAATCAAGAATGAAAACTACATTCTTCCATTCTGGGGCCCCAGAGTGTTGCATCCAGGTCAAGACAAGGACCAGGTGGAATTTTGTAGGACAGCACATCCATATGTATGGCAAGTAGATCTCAACTTTCCCGGGCACTGGATTCTTATTGGTCGATTAAAAAATATCACTAGTGTATTAGTGCAGGAAAAGGGAGGATTTTTATCATGGAGAATCAAATGGGACTTGCTCAGGAGTGGCAAGAAGCAAGGGCTTTTATCACAAGGTACTGCAGGGACAGGAATTGGGGGTACACCTGTTGAGAGACCATGTGACATCAAATTAACAAAAGCTCTGGAATTCAGGCACTGAGGTTGAGTATTTCAACTGTTTCATAACTATCCTATCCTTGCAATCAGCTTGTAAACCAGGTGTCCCTAGAAACAAGCACTTGGGGAAAATGTGAATGGAGCATTAGACATTAGATTCTTTTGATGGAAGTGATGCATATCCAAAGAGGACATCCTGATAGTTTAGTGGGCACACACTGAGATGCTAACCGCAAAGTCAGTAGTTGGACAACACCGTCCATTCCTCTGGAGAAAGAAGATGTTCACAGTCTCGAAAACTCACAGGGGCAGTTCTGCCATGTCCTACTGAGTCACTAAGAGTCAGAATGGACTTGATGGCGGTGAGAAGTGAGATGTCAAAAGAGGGAACATGATGGCTGGCACTTTCTTCCCACAGTTTTTACAGCCTCTTGGATGTCTTTATTCCTCAACGTGTAGATGATGGGATTTAGCATGGGCGTTACAACACTATACAAGACTGAAATCAGTCTGTCTTTCTCCAGGGAGTAAGTCGAGATGGGCCGTACATATGTGAAAATAGCACTGCCGTAGTAGAGCAGGACAATCAGCAGATGAGACGCACATGTAGAAAAGGCCTTCTTTCTCCCCTCGGAAGAGCGGATTTTCAAGATGGTAGAGATTATGTAGAGGTAGGAAAGGATGATGCACAAGAAAGGGGTCCAACCAATGAACACCCCAATGGAGAGCAATGCCAGTTCATTGACTGATGTGTCCCCACAGGACAAGATCAGCAAAGGGGGGATGTCACAGAAGAAATAGTTTATCTGGTTGTTGTCACAGAAGGGAAGGCGAAAGGTCAGTGCCGTGTGCACCACTGAGTTGAGGAAACCACCAGTCCAGCACGAGGCAGCTAACTGGCTGTACAGTATTTTGTTCATGATAACCGAGTACCTCAAAGGTTTGCAGATGGCAATGTAGCGGTCATATGCCATGGCTGCCAGGAGGAGACACTCTGACCCCACAAAGAAAATGAATGCAAAAAGTTGAACCACGCATCCCCCATAGGAAATGCTTTTCTTCTGAGACAGCAGATGCACCATCATCTGAGGGACATTGGTGGTGGTGTAGCAGATGTCAAGAAAAGCCAAGTTCCCTAAGAAATAGTACATGGGCGTATGCAAGTGTGGATCCACTGCAGTCACTAACATAATGAAGATATTCCCACCCAACGTGCAGACGTAAGTCAGAAAGAAGACAGTGAAGAGTAAAAACTGCAGTTCATTTAGATTGGAGAATCCCAAGATGATGAACTCGGATGGGGTGGTTTGATTTTTAACTTCCATGATGTAGCCTGGTTTCCTTTTGGAAATTTGGGCCGAGGGAGGCACAGAGTAGAATAAGCATGTGGTACAATAACAATGGGCTGCAAAACAGACAGTAGAAGAGTTACAGATAAAAACCATCGTCATCTACATCAGATTCAAACAAAGAGAAGCAGCAACCGTTCAAAAACCATATCTGCTACTTACCACCAAACGCATGTAAATGCATCCAATATTTTACCTCTCTCTCTCCCTCCCTCTAACTGTTCTCATCCTCTCCTCTTTTCTATGTACCTTTAGGAAAAGGCTTTACAGGGGATAATGTTGTTTCTGTTGTCAAGTGCCCTTGAGTCGGTTCCAATTCATAGCAACCCTGCTCTCTACAATAGAATGAACCACCACCCAGTACTGCCCCAACTGCACAATTGCTCTAAAGTTTGAGTCCATCATTGCAGCCACCATGTCAGTCCATCTTGTTGAGGGTCTTCCTCCTTTTTACTGCCCCTCCACTTGACCAAGCATTATGTCCTTTTGTAGGGATCATTTTCAGGTCCCAAATGGATGAGGTGAAGCCTCCCTATCTTTGCCTCTAGGGAACACACTGGCTGTACTTCTCCTAAGAGAGATGTGTGTTCTTTTAGCAGTCTGTAACACTTTGAATATTCCTCTCCAACACTATAGTTCAAATGCATCGTTTTGCTTCCACTTTCCTTATTCAATGGCCAACTTTCACGTGCACAAAAGGCCATTGAAAATAGCATGGCTTGGGTCAGGCACACCTAAGTCCTCAAAGTTACATCTTTGCTTTCCGATACTTTAAAGAGGTCTCGTGTAGCAGATTTACCCAATGCAATATACCATTTCATCTTTTGATTGCTGCTTCCATAAGCGTTAATTATGGACCCAAGCAAGATGAAATCAACTTCTACCTTTTCTTTGTTTATCATGATGCTACTTATTGGTCTAGTTGTAAGGATTTTAGTTTTCTTTCCATTGAATTGTCATCTTTGATCTTCATCAGCTAGTGCATCAGGTCCTCACTTTCAGCAAGCAAGGTTGTGTCACCTGTATATCACAGGCTGTAAATAAGCCTTTCTCCCCTCCTAATACTAAAGTCTTCTTCATATATTCCAGCTTCTCTGATTATTTGCTCAGCATACATATTGAATAAGTATGGTGGGAGGATACAACCTTGTCTCACACCGTTCCTGGTTATGAAACATGCAGTATTCCCTTAACTGCCTCTTGGCCCATGTACAGGTTCTGCATGAGCACAATGTCATGTTCTGGAAATCCCACTTCTCAAGATTATCGATTGTTTGTTGTGATCCACACAGTTGAATGCCTTTGAATAGTAGATGAAGCATAAGTTAACATCTTTCTAGTATTCTCTGGTTTCATCCAAGATCCATCTGACATCAACAGTGGTACCCCTTGTTCCAGGTCCTCTTCTGAATCCTGCCTGAACCTCTAGCAACTCCCTGTTAGTGTACTGCTACAACTGTTACTGGATGATCTTCAGTCAAATTTTAATCACATGGCATATTAATGATGTTGTTGTTAGATGCCACTGGGTCATCCCTGACCCATAATGACCCTAGGCACAGCAGAAGGAAACACTACACAGTCTTATGCCATCCTCACAATCATTCTTATGCCTGAGTCCATCATGCAGGGTGTTGTCAATCCATCTCATTGAACACCTTCTCTTTTTTACTGCCTCTCCACTCTACCAGGCATGATTCCCTTCCCCAGGGACTGGTCTCTCCGGACAACATGTCAAAAGTATGTAGAGGAAGTCTTGCCATCCTTGCCTCTAAGGAGCACTCCATCCCTACTTCTTCCAGTATTTATTGGTTTGTCCTTTTAGCCACTCATGGTACTTTCAAAAAATTCTTCTCTAGCACACAATTTAAATGCATTGATTGGTATTAATAATACTGTTCTATAATTTGAGCATTCTGTTGAGTGACCTCTCACTGGAATGGGTACAAATATGTATCTCTTCCTGTCAGTTGGTCAATAGCTGGCTACCAAACTTCATGGCATAGACAAGTGAGTGCTGCTAGTGCCTCAGCAACTTCTTGAAACATTTAAATTGGTATCCCATCCATTCCTGGAGCTTTGCTATTGGCTACTCCTTCCAGTGTAGCCTGGGTCTCTTCCTTCAGTATTATTGGTTCTTGATCACATGCTACCTCTTGAAATGGTGGAATGTCACCTTGTTGTTTTTAGTAAAGTGACTGTGTATTCTTTCCATCTTCTGTAGGTGCTTCATGTCTCATTCCATATTTTGCTATAGAATCTTTCAAGATTGCAACTCAAGGCTTGAATTTTTATTGACATTTTTCAGTTTAACATGCACTGAATGTGTTCTTGCCTTTTGGTTTCTAACTCTAAGTCTTTGTGCATTTCATCATATTTTACTTTGTGTTTTTGTTATATTTTACTTTGAAATTCTTGTCAACACTTTAACTTCGTCTTTTTTTCCATTTGTCTTAGCTACCGTACAATTAAGAGCACGTTTCAGAGTCTCTTCTGATAGCCACCTTGATCTTTTCCTTTCTTTCCTGTCTTTTTAATGACCTTTTGCTATGGGGCGTCACATAGTAGCATTTTAATAATATATTTCCCTATTTTTGCACTTAACTCTGGAATTCCTGGTTTCCTAATATTTCTTTTCCCAACAAGAATCCTATAGGAACAATTTATCTCTTGTGTCCAGATCAACTACAAATCACTTACCTTTAATGGTAACTCATAATATCAATATTGTTATCAGAAGATTAATAGCTTTCTTACAAAAGGTCAAAAAGAATAAGGCCAAAAAGAATGTCATCATCTCAATATGATCTATTGAATAACTGTCCTGACAAAGATAGCTTGAAGTTTTCAGATAGGTCCCCAGTTTGTTCTGTGTGTGTGTGTGTGTGTGTGTGTGCATGTACACATATTTAGTTTTATTGTAGCAAAGCAACCAATATATTTTTAACGTTTAAAACTGAGCATCTTTCCTTTCCAGTGAAACAAAAAGAAAATTTAAAAATAGACAGGATCAAAATTACAATAGAGAATGTCAATTCCAATGAGGATCCTATAGCAGGGCTCAAGTCATCATTAGGATAGAATATTATTTTAAAAGTGTCATCTTAAACTGCAAGGATGTCCGTTAAACATCACAATTAAACAGGCCAAAGGGGGAAGCCATCTTGTCAAAAGTTCCCACGTAACCCACCCAACATCTCAAACCCATCCTGTGATGACCTTCTCTAGCCCCCTTTTTAAGAATGTTTCCCCCTTTTTTATAAACAAGAGAAACTAGACCGATACCTGTTGGTAAATGCTAACTGTCCATATTCACATAGAGACACAGTGTAATCTCTGAGCCCAATATACAGAGAAAGGAGGAAAGAAGCTAGAATTTGATGCACTACTACACAGGGACCTAGCACCCTCCAGCTGCCAGCAGAGCCAAGGGAGCAGAACATTTCCTGTTTTCCCACCAAGCATGGTGGTATGTTGATTCCATGGTTTTTGTTGAGACAGGAATGGATAAAATTAATTTGAATACAAGGGTGTCCAGATTCCTTTCCACTGTATTCTAAACAAGGCATTATTCCCACCACCCCCAAATAAGTTGAGGACCCTGGTGTAGAGAAGAGAAAAGAGACCTCAAAATCAGGGCGATTGAGCACAAGAGTAAGAAACAAAAACAAAATTAAAACAAAAAAAGACTATAACTTGCTCCCAGGGACTGAAGAAAATTTAAAAAGTTAAGTTGGAATCCATCAGTGTTCTGTTAGTCATCTCCTTCATCCTCCTCTCCTTCCTCTTCCTCATCATCATCTTCGTTCTTCCCCTTCACCTTCATCCCCTTCTTCATCAATGTCTTCTAAACCTTCTTCATCTTCATCATCACCATCCTCAACATCGTCTCCTTCTTCTTCATCCATATCACGAAGCAAATAGTACCGTAATGGATTTGGCCAAATATCCTCTCTGATGACTTCTCATAACTCACCTGCGCCTGCATCAGAATGGCTGGTAAACCAGGTAAAGAATCTCTGGTTCTTCATGCTGCCTCTTCCTGCTGACTCTGTTCTGTGTTTGAATGGACCATTTCGTCAAGTCCTTTCCAGATTTCCATTTGATTTCAGTTGATTTTGAAGAGGGATCACCACTCTCATACAGATGAAATTCTTTGGAGAGAACTTTGTTTTCGAAGTAAGGATTAAAAGAAAAATCTATTCTGCAACCTGATTTAGCATCTTCAAATTCTGTCACTTCAACTCTGGTTAGATAGTGCAGTGCATCTTCATCCTCTTCCTCAAGCAAGGCAGACACTTGTGGATGGTTGACAAATGTTGTCACCCCAAAATTTGGCATTTGGGCGATCCATTCTGACCTCTTCTGAAAGAATGGTTGGCAGAGTTTGTTATATTTCAGTTCGACAAAGTGCTGCTCCGCGGTGGAGCGGGGGAGGGGGGTGCTGCGGGGAGCAGGAAAGAAGGGAGGCAGCTTCCCCTTGGTGCCTCCATCCCCTCCCCCTGGCTCATCCACCCTCCCACTGACTCACTCCCCCTCCCCCTGGCTCCCTTTTGCCACCCTAGCATCAGTGACAGAGCAGGCATGCAGGGCTGAGGGGAGGCAGCAGGGCTCCCTCGCTCAAGCTCTGCGCTCTCCCCAGTTTGTTCCTTACAGACAGCTTCTGTAATTCCTAAATTGCTAGAAAAATGAGAATTTTGGGAGAATCTGTTTTGTTTCCCCCCAGATCAGAGTGATTAAAGTTGATTTTTATCCCTGGTTAAAATGAATTGTGTTTGTTTTAGAAGCCTTGAAAAATACAGATGTGAAAATAAAGAGATTAAAAATCTTGAGAAAAGTAGAGAAAATCTCTATTGTTTTAGTAGTTCTATATATATACTCATATATTCAAAATAGGGTTCGGGATGTGCATGATATTTTAATGTGCTTCATTCTTAAGCACCATACTGTGAGCTCTTAGGATGGCAAAGAGGAGCCCTGGTGGCAAGCGTGGTTACTCCTTGGGCTAAGATCCTCATGGTCCGCAGTTCAGTTTTCAACTTCATAAAACAGTCTCAGAAACCCGCATGCCATCACTGCGATTCGATGGTAATGAGTTTGAG